TGTAAATTTCAGGCTGAATATTTGCAGCTAGGAGAAATCTTGAAATCTGCAGCGAGCAAAAAACACACTTTAACACAACATCAATACATGTTGAGGCCGAGTTGTGACTAAAATATTGCGCAGGAAGTTTTTTGTAAGTACAAAGGCTTATAAAATGCTCTTTATATTAAATTTAAACCTGAAACTGAAGTGAATTGATTCTGTGTATGCTTTGGGTGCCTTGTTTACGTTGGTGTGCATCTGTTTTAGATGTTCTGGTAGAATAGTTTTAATGTACCCTCAAACCCTCTGGTTCTGTCCTCTATGGGGTGAAACTTGGCTACTGCCATTGAATCCACTGATTGGTTAAAATGCTACCTGTCAATTTCACAGCCAACTGCAGGGATATAATGCTGTGCTTTATTTACCTTGAAACGTGCAACTGTAAAGTTGGAAAACATCCCAGTTGAAAGTTTGTTTATGGACATGCTGCTGATCTCCATGGCTTGTTTATTGACTTTACAGCCATGCTTACAACCATAGCAGTGTCTAAAGCACTGTTCTACATGGTATCTGATTTCCAAGAACAGATGAAACCCACCATAGAGCCGTCTCACTCGGGCACACACCACAGTCACTCAGGAGTTGGAGTTGTGAGCAAAGATGGATGGAGCTTTTCCTCTTTATCAGCATGGCATTTATCTTTAGTACATGGATCATTTATTCAGGTCAAGACTCTACCTCATCCTGACCACACCCCCGCTGCCCCCCTCTGATTATCCCACACTGGGCACCACCCCTCAGGTCAGGGTTTAAATCTGGCTTTTTAGGACACTTATACCAACATCTGATCAGAAACAACTAATTGTTAGGCTGATGATTGAGAGGAAGTTCTCCTCCCAGTAACCGGCCAGAGTCACCTCTGGTTTGTGGAGAATCAGGTCATTCAGGTGTCAAGGCTCTGCTTGGTCCGGTCAGGGCTCAGCATTGGGGGTAAAAAGCCCCTCACACCCCATCTACAGCCACATTCACATGTACAAACTGCTATGGTTGGATTAGTGTTGATAAATAAATGATGTGTTTAGATGTGTTTTTTTTTTTTAAACACAGCCATGACAGGTTAGGGTTAGCTCTGTGATATGACCACTTGTGTCTATTCTGTCTGAACCATCCACAAAAAGAATTTCTTCAAGACAACAATGTTAATTAAGGGTTGCTGGTATGAAGTGGTGTGACCAGGAATGTACCTGGAGAAGGCTCTTATGATGGATGAAGTTTTATGTGCGACCATGTGTGGTACACTGAGGTTCTTCTCCTGTGATCTCTAACCTGAGCAGCCATCGGTGGAGTGGGCCTCATCCTCCCAGGCTGGGGGCCATTTGAGGAGGACGGGGGGGGTTCATGGAGGACTGACTGGTCAGCCAGTTGGTTTACTGACGCTCTGCTTTTGGCTGCAGATATGTGAGCACCCTGACCCTGCATCAGGTGCAGTTGGACCACACAGGAACCTACAAGGTGACGGCAGTCAACGAGGATGACACCAAGGAGGTCACATTCTACTTAGAGGTCACAGGTGACAGAGAAAGGCTTCTGACTGGTCCCCCAATCCTTATCTGCTGGGGTCCACCTGTCCTGACCTGTGTTTCTGTGCAGCCCCCCCAAGGATCGTGTCTCTGGTAGAAGTGGACAAGAGCGCCATCCTATGTGTCAGTGAAGGAGTCCCCCGCCCATCCGTTACCTGGTACACCTGTCCAGCCTCCATCAGGTATAGACTCTGACACACCTGACCTGTAGCTCTGGCATTGTTTTTTATCAATGTCATCTTCATCAGGTGCAGTAATCTGAGTGATGGCTGGATGAGCCAATCAGGGGAACAAAACACCACCACAGTGACAGAAGGAGGTGTTGCCAGGGTAACCAACATTATCCTAAAGAGGTGGGGGTGGATGTTGGCTAACCAACGATTGACTGCTGTGTGTCACCTGTTCAGGTACGAAGTGTTCTGACCCTGAAAACTCTGAGCTCAGTGTCGGCTGTTCGCTGTGAAGCGACCAACACCGCAGGAGGGCGGGTCCGCGACCTGCGGGTCCTCAGAGCCTGTGAGTACTGTTGTGCTATTTCTGTAGTATTGCTACTGTACTACTGCTGTAATAGTGTTGTAATACTGCTGTATTACTACTGTAGTACCAGAGGGGCACTGTATTACAGCACTAGTGTAACAGTCCTCCACTAACACTAAGAATTTTCTATCCAGATACTCAATCAAATTTTCAGTGGGTACAGAAAGTATTCAGACCCCTTTGAGTATTTCACTCTGTGTGTCATTGCATACATTTGAGAGATGTAAAGAAGAACCCAAAGATCACTGTAACTGAGCTCCAGAGATGCAGTAGGAAAATAGGAGAAAGTTCCACAAAGTCAACTATCACTGCAGCCCTCCACCAGTCAGGGATTTATGGCAAAGTGGCCCGACGGAAGCCTCTCCTCAGTGCAAGACATTTAAAAGCCTGCATAGTTTACAAAAAAACACATGGAGGACTCCCAGACTATGAGAATGAAGATTCTCTGGTCTGATGAGACCAAGATAAAAATCTTAATTCAAAGTGGTATTTGTGGATAAAACCAGGCACTGCTCATCACCTGCCTGATACCGAAGGTTCACTTTCCAGCAAAACCATGACCTTAAGCACAGAGCTAAATGAACAAAGAAGTTGCTTAGGAACAACTCTGTGGCCATTCTTGCCAAGACCTAAACCCAACTGAACATCTCTGGAGAGACCTGAAAATGGCAACCAATGCTCACCATCCATCCTAACTGGAGAGGATCTGCCAGGAAAAATGACAAAGTATCCCAAAATCCAGGTGTGGAAAAACGTTTTACATAATTCCCAAAAAAGAGCTAAGCTCTAAAGGGTGCTTCTACTCAATACTAAGCAAAGGGTCTGAATGCTTATGATGATGTGATATTTCAGTTGTATTTTTATATAAATTTGCATTAATCGGAAACAAAATGAACTTAATTTATTTTACTAAATGGCGGGAATGAAACAGAGTGAAAAAGGTAAAGGGTCTGACAACTTTCATTACCAACTGTAAATCTCTTCTCCAAGATGGTTGTGGAAGGAAATCTATTGGTTACTTGCGTAATCCCGGTTCTCAGAGTAGCATGAGTGTGATGTCTCAATATTGGGATACGCCCCTTGCTGTATACCCTGCTTTAAGAAACCCGGGGGGCGCCAGGGGCACAGCGCCCCAACACACTCAACACACTCTCAACATGTCACACAGGGCAGAGTCTGAGTCAAGCTACCCAACGCTGAAATCCTCTCATGTGCAGACGGCCGAGTATAGCGCACAAACACTTCAGTATTGCGCACAAACACTCTCGGGCTCAGGGAGAGGCTGAATGGGAGCACTGTGTACCAACAAGTAACCAACAAGTGCTTCCAACAAGTATTTGTACTTTTTCACTGAAATGTGGAAATATGGGTCCTTTAGATTGATCAAGGTGAACAAATTGCCCCGATGAATCAGACATAATGGGAAGCATGTGTGAGCATCCTGAATTTGAACTTCCGGAGGCAACTGTTTTTGGCCCTGAGATCCAGGATTGGGCGAATCCCTCTCCCTCCCCGATTTGGGATTAGAAAATACCTGGAGTAAAGCCGCTGTGACTCTGCTCCACCGGAACGGCCCTGATTGCTCCTTTCCTCAGGAGCACAGAGATTTCCTTGCTTAAGTGTGTGAGCAGATTGCACCCGAGCCACAATGTAAATTATGCCGGTAAAGGGAAGGGGTATCATGGCAAACTGAAGCCAATCCCCTCGTTATAGTGCGTTGAACCCAGGCTGATGTTGTGAGGGATGTCCACCTGTGTTTTTGAGCAGAGAGAGAATAAATAATAATTGAACATTATTGATCTCACATTGGAGAAATTTACCTCTGCATCTAACCCATCCTCTTGGGGAGCAGTGGGCTGCCATAAAGGGAAGCCCAGGGAGCAGTGTGGGGTTAAGGGTCTTGCTCAGCAACCAGAGTGGCAGTCTGTGGGAGTGGGGCTCAAACTCAGAACCTCAGGATTCCAAGCTCTATGCCCTAAACACTAGGCTGCCACTCCGCCACTCTGCGCGCTTGAACTTTGGTCTGATTGCAACAGGGAAACATGCTTTATTTTATTTTATGAACAAGTTTGCGTGATTATGCAACTTGGGATAGATCCAGCTGTCCCGGCAGTTGCGCCTGGTTGGAGGGTGTGCGGAGCTGGTGAACAGGGAATGCTCAACTCCATCACTAGCAAGAGGGCTTCGCTGTCAGGTCACCCTCTTATTTTTCCTGTGCTGATGACTGGAGGTCTGGCTCGGCTGCCCCAAAGCAGGAACCGCCGGAGGAGCCGAAGACTTTTCAGGCCAACCCCATCTCCCTTCCTGGCCAGCCAGGACATGAGGATGGGGCTGGGGTCTTCGCTGCCTGGAGATCTTGAAAGCAGGGGCCAAGGCATCGCCTGGGGGCATGGCTGCCTTGATGCCACCTGAGGGGGGGTTCTGTCTTTATGGAATGTCCAAGACGTCATCCCTCTCATGGTCTGAAAGGTACTCTACTCTTTTTACTTTTTCCTGTAAAACCATCATCTCAATAGATTTTCCAATGTCCTGGACTGCGCAGTGCTGCATGCGGAGAGATGTCTGTTATCGCTGTGATTTCTTCCCACACATCTTTGTATGGTTTGGTGGCCATGTTCTCACACAGTTCTGCTTGGTATGCAGAGGGCATGGAGTTTCAGAGCTCTCACAGCAACTGCTGCTCCTTTATAAGCTCTTTCTATCAAGGCGATCTGAAAACAGTCTGCTTTGGATGGCAGTGTGGGGCTCTTTGAGGACCCTGACAGTTGTGAGGTGTGCTGCCACTAGCTTTTCCAATAAAGGCCAGCTGTGATGCCCCGTTGTTCCATGCCTTCGCAGTCCGGAGAGGAAGCTCACTAAATTAGAGTTTTCCCGCTAAACAGGCGGTCCTTCTAGGAGACCACTACCTTGTCCAGGAGCTCAGCGAAAACAGGAAGCAACTGTTTTACTGCCCATGTTGTCTGGGGCAATTTCTTCCCCTTGTAACATGATCTGGTTTTCTCTGCTACTACCTTAGGCCAGGGGATGTGAGCCTGGATGCAGCACGTTTGCATACTGTCTGCATGTCCATGCTTATGGCTGGGGAGGCTGTTGCGCTCCCCTTGCCTTCCCGGTGAGCCAAAAGGGCATTAGGCTTTGCATCCAGTGGGCTTGGAAGAAAGAATGAATCCTCATCGTCATCCTCTGAAACGAGGAGCTGCGGGATGACTTCCTCTTTATTCTCGTCGTAGTCCAGCTCTAGGTTGTCCTTAGCCGGTGAGAGCGTAGCGGCTAAATCCACCTGGGAACCCCAGCTGGCCATAGCACTGTGGACAGTCCACCCCCAGTTCACTATCGTTGCTGGGTGGCAGCTCGCTCGACGGAAAAATATGGGTGTCCAACAGAGAGGCTAGCTTGGCGCGCTAGTCGTCTACAGAGGCTCTTCGTAGTGAAGCAGGAACATTCTGTTAATGAACATGGGGCCTCAAATGCCTGTTGGGTGTGTTCCAGCCTAAGACATGTCAAGCACACCTGCTGTGTGCCCTTGCTAGAAACTTTGTTCCCGCACCTGCAAAGGTCACCCTCCAAGCTGCTATATCCTCTGGTGTGAGGGGAAGCAGGGTCCATTTCGGTTGCTGGTAGCTAGCTGAACTTGGGGAAGAACAGGTCTGAGCGGACTGGTGTGAAAGCCCAAAACAGGTAATATAAACTGGTGTGCTAATATAGGTGGCAATAACTCCAGACTATGGTAAAGACTAGAGTTGAGGCAGGTAACGCCCAATAATGGAGAGTTAGCTAAAAATATTCCACGTGCAAGGACAGTTTAGATAGTATTCTCTGAGATAAGCTTCGAAGCAAGAAGAGGTTTTTGAATGATGTTGTGTCATAGCGCTAGCTACTTATAGGATAGGTGACACAGTCATTGTGATCACCAGCCAATCAGGATTGGCATAATGAGATAAATGCTTTGGAGGAATACAGCAAGGGGCGTACCCCCATAGTGAGACATCGAAACAAATGCTACAAATGAGAACAGAACTGTTTTGGGTTTCTAGCCTAGTAAACTAGCCCCTAGAAATAATTCTTGCCTGCAAGTTTTTTCTGATCAATGCCTCAGGCCATAGAACTGGCAGGCCAATCACTATGCAGATATGTGTTTTGAAATTTTGGACTGCTATTGAAGAGTTCTCGTTTGACTCAGCTTTAGAATCAGTTTTCCAAGGATTAGACCTGGGGTTTTCATTGAAACGTGAGCAGGAGTGGCTCTATGCTCATTCATTTTTAAGAAGGATGTAGTCGCAGTTTTACCGACAGGCTGTTTTTTCTCAATATTGATTGACAGCTGTCCCAGCATGCACTGCGGCAGCAGCAGCTTTCAATGGATTGAAAGTCAAAAGTTCTCTTTTCTGTTGCTTAATAAAAATGATCACCTAAGATCATTTGAGGGGTGAATATTATACTTTAAAGCGTCACTATATGGTCCATTTACGGATTTAATGCATGATTAAAAAAAAACAATTCCGAAATTGAGAGGACAGCGGCAACCAGCGGACCTCCAAGACTAACGGCAGCCAGGGATAACCGCAGTCTGTCTGCAGCAGCCCTCTATTGGCATAGTGTGTGAAAGACTGCTGGCTATGATAGCGATTTTTTTTTGTTTTATTTGGCAAAATGTTCATTTGATTTGTGTTTATCTGACTGTGTTAATTATTATTCCCCCACTAAATTAAAAAAGTAATGATTTATTATTATCTGATTCATGATCCAAGAGTTCTGGATCCAACCGCTGCTTGACCTGAGGGAAGGTCAACCTCCAGAAGGTTCAGATGTTCTGCAGATTCCTTGAGCAGTGGCTTAAAGCCTCGTTATCAAGGAGGTCTTTGAATGATCTGTGACGATATCTGTGGAGGAAGCTCAATTCCGTTCCCTGTCTTCTAGTACCAAATCATCACCTAAAGTTACAACCTCGGTCTCTAATAAACACTCCTCCGTGTCTGTAAAGAGGTCTTAGGTCTTCAGGAGATGCATGTCTACGCTCCTTAATGACTCAACCCTTCTGCTTATTTCCAGCTCTCCTTTCCCAACTCATTGTTCTGGTTGCAGTTCTGGTTCTGGTGATTTTGGGTGTCATCTTCTTCATCATCCTCATTGCTCTCTGGAGAAATGTCAGTGAGGTCATTAGTTTACTATTGGACAGATTGTGTCCACATCCAGTGTCTTCAGTTTTTGCTCTGCTCTTCTTGTATGCAGAAACCTCACTATGAACCTCGCTGGAAGCTCATCGAGTCCCCAAGTTCTGAAGGACACCAGTGGACCTACGTGGACCCTGAAGACTTGCCTTTAAGCTCAACCTGGGAAATACCCAGGGACCATGTGGTACTAGGTGAACCCACAGTTCTTCACACATATTTAAAAACTTCATTTCAACCTGACCCGGAATGAATCTGTATGCTATTCGACTCCAGGTCAGGTCCTGGGCTCGGGTCCATTTGGACGTATTGTTGAGGCAACAGTTTCTGGTCTGACTGACTCTGACACACGAACAAAAGCTGTAGTGAAGATGATGAAATGTAGGACTTTTACCTTATTGGGTTCTGTTTTTAAGGTCCTGAAATCCACAGAGCATATCTCATTCTGTGCATCCGTTTCTGCAGACAAAAGGGATGGAGTTCAGTCCCTGATGTCCGAATTAAAGGTTTTGGGTTATGTTGGTCCTCATCTGAACATTGTCAACCTGCTGGGAGCCTGCACCTCACAAGGTACACATTTAAGAACCTGATGTTTTCTGTACCAGAAAAGTTGTGTTTGGTTCCATTACTTTGGAGGTTGGGGATAGGTTCGGGTGGGCTATAAATTCAAAATAGCCGTATACAAAAACTAATCAAACTAATACCAAGTTATCACACCAGTATATCTATATGAATGCCAACAACAAAAAGCATTATAAAAACACTTCATGGATTTTGCATGGTCCAATATGGTGTCACAAACCTAAAAAAAATTATGTACTAATGGAGAAGCTTTTGGTCAGCTTTATATTTTTTTAATATATAAAACTATTTCTTTTCTGACAATGTGTTTATTTAAGACCAATAATGCAAATTAACAACTACCTAGAAAAAGTTCACTATATTATATTATTTTCCATGTGAATCCCAGATTGTTTATTCTTCTTTACCTTTTCTAAAAAGCGCTTTAAATCAGTCCTACCTGTATTTTTCCTTGCTGGGTCAGATCCTGATGTTTAAAAACGAGGCAGGAAAGCAGAATAAAGTGTTAGAGTAACGGTGGGGTGGGAGGTTTTACAGGATGGCCCAAATGCAGACACAATAGCTGAAGGTGGGTACTTTCAGATTTTAAAAACAAAAAGGATAACAGGAACAAAAATCCAAAACTACTGAAAAACCAGCTAAGAGTGTCTGAACAGGAGGAGAATATTTGGGTGAGAGAAACAAAGGCCAGGCAAGAGACCAGAAGCAAGAGGGAGCTAGGGAAAAGTAGACTGACACAAAAGGGCAAACAAGCAATATCCAAGAACTCAAATATAATCAAAAGTAACTAGAACACAAAAATGGAAATATGAAAATGGACCACCTCGGAGATAAAACTTTAACAGAACCAAAACCATTACAGTTAGCCTCACTGCATGCAGTTAGCCAAGCCTTCTTGCTAAAGCAGGTCCTGGAAAAAGAGGTTTCTTGTGCCATTTCTTTCTCTCTCCAATGCATCTCCAACTCCCACGACTCGACCTGTCAATCACCCGCAAAACCTTTTTGGCCATGGTCATGGATGCCCAGTGAAGACGTAGTTCAGCTATTTCATTCAGGGGACCAGGGACGCATCCAAGTGCTGCAGGACATAAGTACTGTATTCCAGGGTTAGAGTTGAAGACCTCTGATCTAAAGGGTTTAGCGGAACTAATCCAGGAGGTTGTCTGAGAGAACCAGACGCAGTTCAGAGTTAAACCATCAGAATAAAGTCAGCTTCTGTGTGTCCAGGTCCGGTTTACCTCATCACTGAGTTCTGTCCTCACGGAGACCTGCTAGGCTACCTGCATCGGAACAAAGCCACATTTGGTCAGATGGATGCGCCCAGAAGGAGGTAAACCAACTCTTTGACCTTTGACCTCTCTCTCTCTATCAGCTCTTACTCAGTGTCTCTCATCCACAGTAACAGTGATGGAGGCTACATGGACATGAACAAAGACGAGAGGGGGCGTTATGTCCCTCTGAAAGAGCTCAGAGATGCTGTGCATGAACCAGCCCCCCCAGGAGGTGTCATGTGACTCAGCAATCACATACATGAACAAGATGATGAAGAGAAAAAGCTGTTAATCATCACTGTTGTTCTCTTTCAGTCTACCAGGAGGTGACAACGCTCCTACTCAGTGATTCCCCCACTCTTACTCTGCAAGACCTGCTCAGCTTCTCCTTCCAGGTCGCTCAGGCCATGGACTTCCTGTCCTCCAGGAAGGTACCAGCCCTTCCCTAAATTAAGTTTTTGCATATATTCAACCTCTTGCAACAACATTTTCCTATTCTTGTTGTAAATTTCTTTTTTTCTCCTACAAACGCAACATATCAGATCAGATTAATCAAACATTAACTTCATTCATTGATCCTCAATGATCCTGGTAAACATAAAAAAAAAACCTCATAAAGTTTTATCAAGTTTGATTTAATGGACATCTTAATGTAAATGTAATGTTTGCTGGCAGAAAGTAGATAAAGCTTTTCTTGAAGCCGTGTTTTCAAGAATCACTGTCAGAATGAACTCAACTTTAGTTAGAAATTTCAAACTTTTAACCAGGGATACTTTAGGTTTGGACAGACAGTAAGTAAAAGTGTGTTGGTCAGATTGTTTTCAGATGACTCATTTTATCTTCAGCTTGGACATCATTTGATTCACTAAATGCTGCCTGATGAATCATTTCAGAAGATCAAAAAAGCCATTACTACTTCTGCTGGATCAGAGCAAGTCTGAGCAGCATGTGGTTTTACTTTTATAGAAAAATGTGGGAAAATGTATTTGACTATGTAGTCCAGGTAAATAAAGGAGATCAATGGATTTCACTTAGTCATCATTTAATTTTTTTTTTTCAAAGAAAGAGAATAAGATGATATGAAGTCCAGCCCTGCTCTGACTAGACAACGTTTTTCTCTCACTAACTAAAAACCCTGCAGAAAGGCTGTGAAGGTCTCCACATACCGTTAGAATTTAGAGGCAGTACGAGAAAACAGTACAATGTTATAAAAAATAAAATATAATCCCTTGTTATGAGAATGATAATTTTTATTACCTAATATGATAAACGACCCCTCTCTGAGACCTTGTAGCCTTGCATCTCTTAGGCCTGAATAAATGAAACACAGCACTAATATATATATATAAAAAAATGAATTCATAGATTATTAATAGATTGATTCTTTTTCCACCGCAATATTTTTGAGTCAAATGTCTAAAAGTTTAGAAAACTTGTTAAGATATCCTTAAATTTAAGGGTGGGAACGTCTGAGAAGTTAAGAGCCATGTAGGCACCCCAGAGAAAGACCCACCGATAGACCTCCAGACATGTGGCTTCACATAGGAAGCAAACACAACAGAGCTGGTTTGCTATTTTTTCCCTCCAGGTTTGCTGTCATCAAACAGTCGGACCCATTTAACTTCCTTTGGTCCAGTTGGATTAGTAAAGGATTCTAAACCTGACTGAGATGTTCCAGCTGCTTGGTGAGCGCCTGGATAGAGATGTTTCCTGGCTGTCAGACTAACCTGGTTGTAAAATCTTTCATTCATTCACAAAAAAAGAAAAGGAAACAGATTAACAGATCTATGAGAGGCTGTTAGTCAAAGAGCTTGGAGATCCAGTTTGGTTCTGGTTCTATGGGAAGTGTGTTTCACGTGATGAGACATCGGCTTGTCCTTTGGATTGGGTTGCATTTTCCTTTTGGACAGTTCTGTTCAATAACTGTTATGAAAAAAGTATAAAAAAGAAGAAGATAAGACCTTCGGGAAGTCCATAGATCCGCTGACCTACAGCACAGATGGCGTCTCATCTCTGACCTGTTGCTCCTGATGTGTCTATGGAACCAATCCACCACCTAACATATTGTCTATTGTCAATCTCTTGTTCTCTCAGTGTGTCAACAGAGACCTGGCTGCCAGAAATGTCCTGGTCTGTAATGGGAAGCTGGTGAAGGTCTGTGACTTTGGGCTGGCCAGAGACCTTCAGAAGGATCAAGACTACATCATCAGGGGGAATGTCAGTGAATTCATCAGCTGTTGTCCCTGTTTTATGTCATCTTTAGGCTTGGTTCTCAGCTGTACTGCTTTCATTTCCTTTCAGAGCTTCCTGGCACTGAAGTGGATGTCTCCAGAGACCATCTTCCAGAACATCTACAGCTCTGAGAGCGATGTCTGGTCCTATGGAGTCTTACTGTGGGAGATCTTCTCTCTGGGTAATCAGTTCTAACCATCCATCCATCCATCCATTTTCTGACACGCTTAATCCCAAGTGGGGTCGTGAGGGGTGCTGGTGCCTATCTCCAGCTGTCTACAGGCAAGAGGCGGGGTATACCCTGGACAGGTCGCCAGTCTAACCAGTAAACTGGTTCTGACCAGTTTACATCTAAAGACACGGTATAACTATTCCACATAATGTGATCGTTGTGTACTTTGTCCAAGGTCATAGTCCATACCCTGAACTCCGAACAACCCGACAGTTTGGTTCTGCTCTGAAGAGAGGACACAGAATGGACCGACCAGAACATGCGCCGTCTGACCTGTAAGATATCACACTAACGCTTGTTACATCACATATACAGAGTCACATCAAGAGGTAGGATAAGTCAGAACCAGTACTCCAACCGTAACTTTGAGTAATGGCCCAAAAATCCAGATCCAGGTCCATGTACCGGTCCAGGTCCAGGTTAGGAACAGCAGCTCTTCCCTCTAATTGACCGGACTCAGCAGAGATACCAGATCTTTCAAGTTCACTGATCTCTGGAGGTCCTTTTACCCTTAAGGTGCCACCACTATTAAGTATTGACAGATGTTCCTCAGCCTTAGACTTAGACTAAGTCTAGCATCAGTTTGTATACACACAGTGTATACAAAATGAAATTTCTTTTTTTACAGCTTTCAGACAGCGAACAAGCAGCAGCTTAGCAGTGAAATTAACATTTCCATTTCATAAAGTGTAGCAGTGATCGAATGTAAACAGTGTGGAAAGTGAAGTTCTGAAGGAATCTCAGCCTGTAGGTCTGGGTCTAAGTTACACCACCAAACCATGAGTGGGTGGTGGTGGACATGAAGTCCATCAACCAGTCCTGCATGTTGCTCTGGCAGAGGAAATAATGGTCTTCCTCCCATCTTTACAGATATGAAGTAATGAAGCAGTGCTGGGATGAAGATCCTCTGTCCAGACCTTCTTTCTCCTCATTGGTCTCTACTGTTGGTGCCATGTTGAGTGCTGACTACAGACAGGTCAGCACACCTGTATAGTCCAGTCATAAAGTGGAGTGAAGTGGAGCTATTCCTGAGAAAAACACCACATTGTGTTTCTCTTGATCCTCAGCGTTACCTCCAGCTTACGGAGGACTTCCTGAAAGGAAAGAATCCAGCTGTAGTTCAGTCCAGTTTATCCAGACAAGCTGCAGAGGAAACAGATGGACAGAGGAACAACCAAAAAGGTTGCAGACATATTCTTCTCAGTAAAATCTAAGGTTGGAAGCTAAACTCACAGCTCTTTCACTTCACAGGAGATCCTGCCTCAGAAGCCAAGGTTCACCAGTTGGGAGCAGAGCCAGACGGGCCTGGCCCCTCCCACAGCACTTTTATCATCCCTGTCTCTGATGTCACAGTAGAAACCATCGCTGCGCTGGACGCAGTGAGGTACCGTCTAGAACCTGGTCAAGTTTTGTTTAGTAGCTCTGAGAAGGAGTCCAGTATAGAATGTTCAATTCAATTCAGTTTATTTCTATAGTGCCAATTCACAATACATGTCATCTAAAGGCACTTTATAGAGACATTTCAACCAGATCATACAGAGAGATTGGTTCAAAGTTTTCTATTTAAGGGAAAACAGCTGATTGCATCAACTCCTTGACTCTCCCGCAATCCCTCACAATAAGCATGCTTGTAGAGACAGTGGAGAGGAAAACTCCTTTTTAACAGGAGGAAACCTCTAACAGAAACAGGCTCAGTGTGAGCGGCCATCTGCTATAGCTAACTGGGTTTTCAAGGAGATAGAAGCAGACTTACAGAGAGATACAAAAGGTAGCTTTCAATCAGCTCCACAGGCAGTTTTGTCCAGGAAACACAGAGCTAGGCGGATGAGCTCCAAACCAGCTCCCACGCCAGAGGATGAAAAAGAGCACATACAGTTATTCACAGTGAAAAACCAGAACTACACTGTAAAACAGTCCAAGTTCCAACATCCGTAAACAAAGGTGTTGATGGCAGCAGCACAGCTGATATTTCATATCACAGAGAAGAGAACTTACCTCATAGCATGAACAGCACCACAAAACGTAGGTCAGCAGTCAAAGCAGGAAGCATTGAGATACAACTTAAACCTTAAGCTGTGTGTTTCTTGTTTTATTCTTTGTGGGTCACAGCCCTCCAAATACCAGATGTCATTCAGACGTTGGTTTTTAGGCTTAATCTGGTTGCTCCGTCATAGTTTTGATTTAGTCCCGAAATACTTGTCGAAAATTGGGGTGTTTGGTACGTCTTATGTTGTCCCACTTTAGTCCATCAATAGACATTGAAAAGACGTTGTAAACCCAGATTTCAATGTCTTCTCAATGTCTTTTTTGCCCCCTCTGCTACTTACCTTACCAAATCAATATCCCAGAAGTTTAAGTAACTTGATGCTATACTCTGATTACAAAGTGTTCCTTTAATGTTTTGAGTAGTGTATATAGCTTTCTAATGTACCATTGTTAGAAGAACTGTGAACTTGTGAGCTTTGAGGCTGCACCAAGTTTGTTACCAGTGTGTGGGACAGCGTTGGCTTTAAATGTAACTTTGCATACAGTCAGCTAATGTTCACAGCTACAGGCCAAGAAGAATAAAATTCTCCCTCTGGCTCAAAGATACTGGTGAGGATACAGGAAGGTTCTGATCCAGAGGGAGGATACGGGTTGGTTGAGGTGTGTATTGAGAGAAACAGACTAGGGAGTTTACACTGTTTATCTTAAAAAATGCCTTTCTTTTGTCCTCATACAATTCGTAGACACTTTTTCTCTTATGACCCTCTACCATTTTTTAAAGAACCTCGGTGAGACAGGTGAGCTTTAATGATTGGCTGAAACCGTAGCTCACCACAGATATGCAGTACGTCTGAAAGTGTGCATGCCCAGAAAAAGATAGCTAATATAGGACTGCCTTTCGTAAACATATCACCATAATGACTGACAATTAGGAGGACCACTTATTTAAATTATCCACCTGGAAATTAAAGATTGTCCTCTATATATTTAATCATGACTTCTTGTCTCTGTCAACCAAATAAATCTCGTGGAAGTGATGTAGGAACAGAATATCTTGTTATTCCACCTTAACACCGAGTAGATCAACCATTGACCCTCAGCAATTGACAGCTTTAAGTTACGTATGTTCAACTGTCTGCCTTGCTAACAGCTGAAAGTAAATTAGCTCAAAGTTTCATTTTGTTAGAAGCAACAACATAGTTTTGATGCTAGAAAGAGGAGAAGCTCTGTGCTTTGAATCCTCTGTTGCCCTGATTTCCTGTTGACAAAACATTAGCACAGATTGAGCCTATAGTGTGCAGTGATGGAAATGGCAGTTCCCATGGAGAGCTGCCACACTGGTTTAAACCTCAGTAGGGCCAGTCAGAGCCAGCCCTGGTCCTGGTTCTGCTATTTATGTTGGTCTTTCCTTCCTGTTTGGGTCTAGGGTCATGAAAGACAAACGTGTTGCGGTTTGGTGATTCACACCTTTAGCAGCTGAAACAAGCAGAAATCTGATAAGCATGATCTTTAATGATTTTTTTAGCTCAAAAAAAGCATGATCTTTTGACAGATCAGTTGTAAGTTGTCCACCAAGCCTCTTTAATGATCATCAAATTTGATTAATTAATCTAGACTCAGTGATGGTTGTTCCTCAGTGATGACTCTGCTTCTTCTTCAGTCCTCAGCTGTCAGAACCTGCCGCCATCTCGGAGTCAAAGGAAGTGACACCACCGCCAGACGCCACAGAGCCACCTACTTCATCCAGCTCCCCTGATGAAGAGGAAGAGAGCTGCCTGTGAAGATGTCACCAGCAGAGGGTGCCCTGAGCACTGACTGTAGGGCTGTGGAGGAGCGCCCACATTTTATACATAAATCTTATTTTACAGCCCAGAGATGAAGCTCTGTATGTCTGCTCTCTGTGTGCTGATCTATTTAATGGGTCCTGGTTCTGATTTATCACCAGCAATATCCATCATTTAGCTTTGCATCAGTTTGTATCATTTTCTGACTCAGGTCAGAACCAAATGCTAAAATAAAATATGTTCAACAGCTTCTCAGTCACACTGAACAGGTCTGATCTGTTTTTTAACTCGAGTCCTCTTCAGCAGATTCAGCCAAGTCTAAATTCACCAGAGTCTTCATCACATCATGTCGGTCTTCACAGCCCCTCCTCTCAAAAGGCAGAACGCAGCAGGTCGATTTGTAGAAAAACTAAATTTTGTTGTTTGGAAGTGGGAGAGGTGGGGAGGCCCCCTCCCCCTGGTTTTAAATACACAGTACTCCAACAGGCAACAACACTACATCCGAGAGTAGGAGAGGGGCTGGCATAGGGCCATTCCAACCTCTGTTCTCTCTGCTCCATCTGGGGATGGGGCTGTGGACTTGGGGTTAGTCATGGCTTGGTTGGGTTTTCTGGCTCCCCTTGGGTTCTCCGGCCGTTCGGCTTCCGTCCTATGGATTGAATGTCTTGTCTGTCTGCTGGGAGGGGGGATGCCGGTTCCTGGCATCAGGTGGGGGTCTGGGACAACGCAGGGTTTGGCCTCATTCTTACAGGGTGGCAGGCTGGCTGGTTTGGGTGTAAGGCAGGCGGAATAAAATCACCATGTCCAGATGCATATCAGCCGGTGGTGTGGGTCAGCCTTGATACCTGCCCTGACCCTGCACTCTGGCTGTTGGGCACTTGTGTTTAGATGGCTGGCCCACCATATTCGGCCTAGAGGGTTGGACTACCTGGGTTATGCTTGCCTGGCAGAGATGGGTATGAGAGGACAATGGTTGTGTGGGCCTGGAACGGCTA